GGGCCAGGTCCCGCGGGCCCTCTTTCCCCGGCACTCGGGGAGGCCGAGCGCGGGGCAGCAGCCCTGCGTTTTGTTGGCTCCTTGTTTTGCGGTGTGCGTGTGTGTTTTCCTTGTTGTCAGGGTCTCACGCTGCCGCCCAGGGTCGTGACTCGCTGTCGCTTTGACCTCCTGGGCTCAAGCGATCCTCCCGCCTCATCCTCCCAAGCAGTTGGGACTACAGGCACACGCCACCATGCCCAGCTTTTTCTGGGTAGAGATGAGGTCTTGCTTATGTTGCCCAGGCTGCTTTTGAACTGCTGGCCTGAAGCCGTCCGCCCGCCTCTGCCTTCCAAAGCGCTGAGACTGCAGGCGTGAGCCACCACGCCCAGCCAGGGTTTACTTTTCAATAAGAACGTTCCAGTGCCTGGACGGATGGCTTGTAGAGGTGGCCGGAGGCTGCGGCAGGAGATTCGGGGACGGATGATGGCGGCCAGAGTCAGGGCGGGCGACTGCAGACCGTGTGAAGTTAGGCGACTTATCTTACCGCGTCCACAGGGCGGGTAGCAGGGCTTGAAGAACAGCGGGACTCGGTTTCAGATTTTGGCTCCGCTGTTTCTGAACGTGAGACCTCTTGGCAAATCGCTTAACTTCTGCAAGAATCAGTAACTTTTCTGTTGGGTGGGGATGGCACTACCCTTGATGGTGTTCGCGGAATTAATTGATCTTATGTTTGCAAAATGCCAGGTCCTAACTGCCTCACTAATAGCAGTGGCTGTGGCTGTCAGTCCAAAGGCAGCGAGCATCCGTGAGGGGCGCCTTTGAGCAGTGCCGAGTGCGTGGGGAGTGGGCTGGAGGCCTGGGAAGGGAGGGAGAGATTTCGCAGTTGTATTGTCGTCGGAGGTGGCTTCCCTCAGGGTCACTGAGCACTGGTCCTGGCGGCTGGAGTGCTGTTGCTTCCATGCTGTGCAGAGAGATCTTGGAGTCAGAACATTGGGCTGGCAGCAGTCGATCCTGATTCCGTTTTGATCCAGTGAGCACCGACTTCCTGTTGGTACTTTCCCTGCTGTTGACGCTCTGAAAGCGCGAGTTCCTCCAGAGCTCTCTTTCGGGAGTGTGCGTGTGGGTGTGGACATGGGTATGGGTGATGCGGACACCCAGGGAGAACACTAGGATGGCTGGGATGACAGAGGGGCTTGTCTTGCCCCCTGCAGTAACTTAAATCTAGTCCGTGGTGATGGCCGTTGAGAAATACTAGCGGGAAGAGAAAACCACTGACTTCAGACTTAATAGAGGACAGGAAGGCATCTAAGAGGAACTGCAGAGCAGTGGGATAGGCAAGTCCTCAGCCCTTACAGAGGGGAGAGGGTGCCGGGCGAACGCTGGAATCACAGCGTCAGCGTCCAGACGGGCTTGGGTGAGTCTTTCTTTTTGCCCGAGTTCTTTTATGAAAACCCCCTCAAGTGGCTTTTAGTCTTATCTTCGTCGTGGGGTCAGAGAATGCAGAAAAGATGGCTCCTTGCAGTTCTGTATCTGAAATGTTTTCCAGTGTGCAAATCCACCTACCAGCAGCCAACGTGGCACTGCTATTCTCACTGGGCACTCGTCTGTCAAAACAGGACTTTGCATCTTTTGAAGAGCACACAGTTAAAGCTTTTGCTGTCCTTCCAGCCAGTGACATGTAACGTTTGTCCTTGTTCCCAAATTGGGGACCAACTGTTGACTAGGCTCTCCAAGAGTATCAGGATGGGGAAAAAGGAAGGGACAAATTAAATACGTACTTACGTGTTCAGAACTATGCCTGTACCCACATCCAGTCCCAGAGGGCAGGGTGAGGTATTTGTTCTTTTGTAACTTTGTTGATGTAAGTAATCTTCAATTAGGAGGTCAGTAGCCAGCATTTGACAATCCTTTTGTTATATAAAAGCGATTCTAGATTGAGATGGATTTTTCGGGTAAAAATCCGGAAGGAGAGAAGAAAGTTGAGTAGTGGAAATAGCTGACAGGTGCCTAGTAGTTTGCAGCATGAAGTCAAATGCGGAGTTGAAAGTGATTTGCATTTGGTGGGTGCTCACTTTGCGTTTGAAGAATTGAGTAATTAATGATAGCATTTGCCCTTTAGCAAGTCTTTGAAGCCCCTCATGAACATTTGTTATCTTTGGCCTGAGTGGATTTCTAAATCTGCCTGTGTTGATTTCTGCCTTAGTAGAGGACTGGAAGGTATCTAAGAGGAATTACCAAACCGTGGTGTAGGCAAGTCCTCAGGCCCTTACAGAGACAAGGATGCCAGCGTGTGATCTGGACTTCTTACAGAGACAAGGATGCCAGCGTGTGATCTGGACTTGACAGTGTAGCTGCTCGTGTTGTTTGATAGTGTCCCAGTTCTGCTTTGCCCAAGATGTGACAGCCTGGTGCGCCTGCACAATCGTGGTGTGACTTATGTCTAAAACGTTTGGAAACATAATTCTTTTTTTTTTTTTTAAACAGCGCAGAAAAGGAACCACAGTTTCAGAAACAACCTTAATAGGAGCAGCTGCCTCTCCGTCACTGCTTCCTCAGAATGATCCAGAAGTTATCGTCGTGGGCTCTGGTGTGCTTGGCTCTGCGTTGGCAGCAGTGCTTTCCAGAGATGGAAGGAAGGTGACAGTCATCGAGAGGGATTTGAAAGAGCCTGACAGGATAGTTGGCGAATTCCTGCAGCCGGGTGGTTATGGTGTCCTTCAAGACCTTGGTCTCGAAGGTAGGTTCCAGGGACTTCAGGAGTTGGGGGGGTGATGGAGACTGACACAGCTCGTGACCACCCTGCGACTGGTAAGAGGCACTCCATTTCCTTTTCATTTATAGAGCTTACTGTGTTCACTGCCCAAGAACCTTGCATAAAGATGAGAGCAAGGGTAAGATAAGCATCTTGTAGTATGATTAGATAGGTTTCATGAGATATAATGAAATACCTAAGAGATTATAATAGTCCAAGTTGGGGACTGGAAAACTAGGTGAGGGCATGGAGTTTAGTGAGAGGTGGCTGGGATTGTCACGAAGAGTGTATATTACGTACTCGTGACAGTGTTATTACCTAGTCTTTTTTCGGAGTCATGACTCAGTGCAGCCCCAAAGTTCCGGACTTAAGTGGTCCTCCAGCCACAGCCTCCCAAGTAGCTGGGACTACGGGTCTGTGCTACCACACCCAGCTAATCTTTTAATTGTTTGTGGAGACAAGTCTTGCTCTATTGCCCAGGCTGGTCTCGAACTCCTGGGTTCAAGCAATCCTTCCGCCATGGCCTCCCAAGTGCTGGGATTATGGGTGTGAGCCACCACGCCCGGCCTAGAAGCTCCTGTTTAAGCATGATTCATCCATTCAACCAGTGCTTTTTCAGCACCAGCTATTCATTTAGGAGACAGTTACTTACTGCTTGCTTTGCGTGAGGCGCTGTACGGGGTACCAAGAATAGGTTGGCGAACAAGACAGATGAACTGTGGTCCAGGAGCAGAGTACAGACCAAGCCCAGGGCAGGAGGTGAGAGACAGCGTGCTTGCTGTGTGTGGTGGGGTGTGCCGAGTATCAGTTAAAAGCTCTGATTCAGGAACTAGGTTGCCCGCGCTTGAATACCGGCTCGACACTTCGCGGCTGCGTGACCTTGCGAGGGGACCAGCTTTAACTGGCGTGGTGCCTTCTGTGTATTGTCTTCCTTGTAGAATGGGCATACAACAAGTCTCTGCCTCGTGTCTTGTTATGGGGATTAAATAACCACGGACACGCAACGCGTCCTGGGCAGTGCCTGGCGTGTGGTAGGCGCCACGCAAGTGTCGGCAGTTTGCTGCAGGAGCTGGTGGTCGGGAGGGGGCGTGGCCTGAGCCGAGGCGGAGAGATGGCGGCAGCCGGGCACTGCGCTTCCCGGGCCGCGCGGCGGAGTGACGCGGCCTGCTTGTGCATCCAGAACAGCGGGCTCCCACCCTCGCGGCCACTCACAGACACGAGTCCGCCCCCGTCCCGAATAGGACGTGTGCATCTGGCGACCTGATGAAGTTGGCTTGATTTTACTTTTTAAATACTTGTCATGATTTCACCCGATTATACAGTTGACACCTCAAAATTCATTGAGCGGTTGCTGTTGGTGTTGTGCTGCCTTTCGTAGAGTGGGGTTTGGAAGAACCCGTGGGCTCGGCCTGGAGAGTCGACTGTGAGATTGTGGTGGGCGGCAGGAGCCAGTGCTAGGGCCCGGTGGGGACTCCTGGCCGAGGGGCCGAGTGGCGGGTCAGGCGACTTGCACCAGCACGGTGGCAGAGGGTAAGGTGGTGTGGGTAGATTCATGACGAATTAAGGGATAGAACATGACTTACCAAGGGGTTGGCGTGAGACCTGGGATGAGGCTGCTCTCCGGAGGGATTCCTGGGTTCCTTCTGCCGACGTGAGGAAGCCCCGGGTAGGAGCCAGTGCAGTGGGATTCGGGGGGAGGTCTTAGTGCGATATCACGATGGAGATGAGTGTGTGCATTAGCCTGCAGAGGACTGGTGTGGGCTGGGCTGGCTGGAGTGACACGTTTCAGAGCTGACGGCATCCTTGAACCCTGACACCACCACAGCCTCGACCATCCAAGGGGAGTGTAGGGAGAACGGGAAGACAGGAGAACTAGGCCCCGGCGCCTCCAAGAGCTGACGCTTCCCCGAGAGTCAGAGGAGCTGCAGATGGTGGAAGGATGGCACGCAGTCCAAGCGAGGAGAATGGCCCACACGAGGGGTCAGAGTGAGTGCAGAGAGCGACCGCTGGATTGGCCAGTTTGGAGGGTGGTTGTGACGCCGGCAAGAAAATCTGGGCTGGAGGGAGGTGGCGATTTAAGAACTGGAGACTAGAAGACTCTTTGAGGAGGTTCTTTCTTTAATGATAGAAAACAGAGGCAGGGCAGTGGTGGGATGGAGACGTGAGGACAGGGCGACATGTGTCGACACCGGCGTGTGTGCCGGTGGCTCTGGTGCTGCGAGTGAGACCTTGTTTCTACAAAAAAATTTCAAAAATTAGCCAGAGCAATCCCCTCGGGTCCCTTCCTGCTCTGAGAGTTTTTCTATCCTCTCAATAAAACCTGTTTTCTAAAACAAAAATTAGCCAGGTGTGGTGGTGCATGCTTGTAGCTTCAGCTACTCAGGAGGCTAAGGAGGATCGTCTGAGCCCAGG